TCTTCCAAGTCTGTTTTGTCTTTTGTTTTTCCCCATAGTCAAACCTTTAGCACCTAGCACTACTTAGTAGATATTTATGATTAATCAGTAAATTGATTCAATCAAGCACAGGCATGTGGAGAGAGGACAGACAAAGTCTCCTTTAGTTTATTATCTGTAGAACAGTGGTAGGCTGCGTTGGACGTATTTTTTTCCTATTATTTTATTTCATCTTCATGCCAAGACACAAAGTTATGGCGATAGAAAGATGTTCTGCTTCCTTCTACTAATCTGTTTATAGACATCATCTCTGTGTCAGAGCAAGTTCCTACAGGCCTTTTTTTTTTTTCTGGCTGTCATTAGTTCTATTTAGAATCATCTAGCTTGAGTGGGTATTTTAAAACAGAGCTGTTGAGTGTAAGCCACAGAGCTTAATAAATCTTAGGGCCAAGAGAGGAGCTGGAAGAAACGGTACCGGAATCCTCTTTTCCTTCCTTAGCACTGGGGTTGGCTAGGCCAATGCACGGAATGGCTAGACCTCAGACACTGCCCGTCTGATATGCTATTATTTGAGCCTTTTGAAGGCTCGTTTTGCTTCTAAGACTGTTATTTCACTTATATGCTCCCCTACAGTGAAGCCTATAATCACTGATTTAATGTTAAACATGTCTGGTGTTATGTATGGCAGTTCTCAGCTCCTGTTCTACTTACCACAATAAGTAGAAGGGAAAAGGAAGATGACGGTCTCTGAGTCTATCAAAAGCAAAGTTACCTGGAAGAACCTCTTTTTACTAGCCATAACTTTTGTATCTTGGTATAAAGATTAAAAAAAAAAAGAGGAAAAAATAGGAAAAAAATTATTCACTGATAGTATTAAACAATGTTAGCATGGTTTCTGAAATCCAGATAAGAAACATTTTAAAAGCAATAAAATTCTGTACAATTCCTATTAGGATAATACAGCTACAAAGCATATGAAAATAAGATGTAGAACAATTTCGTTCAGTTTTATTGTTTGATCATATAGATGATCCCTTTTATAGCAATGGTAAATCTGAGCACAGAAAATTTGACTTTAACATCAGATAGTATCTAAAATACCATCACATACTGGACACACAGAAAACCAAGCACATGCAGTTGGAAATATTTTCATATTAGAGGTCAAAGGCACATCTATTCCTGACTCTATTATTAACTGCGTAAACTTAGGCCTAATCTACTCTGGTTCAATGAGCTTCAGTTGCCTAATTGATAAAATGTATACTTGTGTTACCTTTTTGGATTTTTGCCAGTGGACAAGTGTTTGGGTATGTTTATTTTGCATTTCTTCTACTGTGAGGTTGAGCAACTTTTCATATATATATAAAAAGGTATTTCCTTTTCTGTTGATATCCTTGACCCATTTTTTCTACTGGGTGATTGGTCATTTTCTTATATATTTCAAGGAGCTCTTTATATGTTAGAGATATTAGCCCTTTGTAATATGAGTGGCAGTTTGTCCCATTAATTTTTACTTGACATTGTTTACACTTTTTTTTTTTGCTATGCACTTCCTGATTCTGATGTAACTGATTACATCAATCTTTAATTTTATGGCCTTCTCCATGGTTTCTTCTTCCATTTTCCTCGTTAATTTTATGGTTTATTTTTCTCTTCTTTTTCAAACACTTAGATCTTTGATTTGCTTGACGTTTATCCTGACTTATGGTGATAGGTGTGGATTCAACATCTTTTCACCCATGGTTATTGTGTAATGACATTATGTACTGCAGAGATAACTTTTTCCTCAACCGATCTGAGATTGCTATCTTTATCTTATACTAAACTTCCATAAGTGTATGATTTATTTCTGGATTAAACTCTATTCCAATAGTCTATTTATTCATGCACCCATGTCATACTGTTTCAGTGTTTAATGATTGAGATATTTTTTCACTGTATTCTTAGGGATAGGGGTGGGGAGGGATTATGTTGTATGTGTATACATATAAAACTTAGGAAGAACTTTTATAGCATTGAGTATTCCTAACTATGAAAATATTTTAATATTATCTCTCACTTACATTTTTGGCATAAATTGTCCTGCCCTAATTGCCCTAATAAAATGGTTGTGTCACAAGATCCCAATTCACAAACTGACAAAACCAAGAAAAATAAACCAACATAACATTTAAGAACTAGAAAACATGTTTGCCACTACCGGAATCCTTTGGTAAGATGAAGTCTTTTTGAAATCTGGTTTGTTTCTAACTTGGTTCAGTTCTAACTATATTCTTGCCCGACTCCTGACCACTGATTCCATCTCTTATTTTAAATTCTGCTCCTATTGTTTGGACCTGACTTTTTTTTGGTATGTATGTATATATGTATTTATTATATTAAATTTATTGGAGTGACATTGGTTAGTAAAATTATATAGGTTTCAAGTGTACAATTCTATAATACATCATCTATCTTTTGCATTGTGTGCTCACTACACAGGGTCAGTTCTCCTTCCATCCCCATATATTTGACCCCCTTTACACTGTTCTACCACCCACCCTCCCGCCTTACCCTCTGGTAACTACTAAACTGTTTTCTGTGTCTGTGAGTTTGTGTTTGTTGCTTTCAGGTTTTTTTTTTTTAATTTTATTCGGAAACAGTGTGTTTTTCCAGCTCCAAATCAAGTAGTTGTTTCAGTGTAGTTGTGGAGGGTGCAACTCAGTGGTCCATGTGGGGATCGAACCGGACACCTTGGTGTTTTGAGCACTGCACTCCAACCACCTGAGCTAACCGGCTACTCCTCTGATTCCTATTTCAACCCTGACTTTCCTATAGAGTTATTCCCTTTTCTTCAAGTCCTGCCTTTTTTCCCTTCATCGATAGAAACATGTCTTTTAAAAAAATGTTACCTAAGATTATCTAGCTTTTTAATTGTGTTTGATGGAATCAATTTTGGACTGTTTTTTGTTTTTTTTAAAGAGTTTTATTGGGGAATTGGGAGATGGGAACAGCGCTGGGGAATTGGGGGAAGGGGAACAGACAAGTTGCTGTCCTTTTTGTTCTTCAGTCTAGTTGTGGAGGACGCTGCTTCNTTTTTAGCTGAGCCATCCCGCCACCTGTTGGCAGCTCACGGCTGCTCAGCTCGGGCTGACTCGAACCGCTGTTGCTCAGAGCTCAAACTCTCGAGCGAGCTCTTAACCAACTGAGCCACTCAGCCAGCCCCCGACGGCAGCCGCATTTGGTACCATGTGACCCCGGCTCACTAGAGTAAGGGCAACCACTCAGTAGGCTGGCCAAGAGCCTTAACTAGTCTTGCCGAAAAAGGGTATCACCCAGGGAAGATGAGCGGCACCGATTAGATTTGCACTCCTGGAAAATACAGGGAGAACTAGCTCGTAAGAGAACAGATGTGGGAGGGATGTATTGAAACAGGTCTCAAGACAAGGAGCCGTGAGCAAGTTAATGAGGAAGTGGAAACTGTGAGTAAGCAGAAAGCAGGAGAGAAACAAAGAGAAGCTGATGCACCACCAGAGGAAAAGATGCACCGGCTCAGCTGCAGGAATCCATACAGTCGCCTTGCCTTGGATCCAGGCTGCTCAATCTAGGTTTCCTGTTTTCTCCCTCTGTCAGCTCAGTCTCCTTTACTGCCACATAGATCCTAGCCATCGTCTCTTATTTCATCTAGATTGTAACTCTCTGTCACTTCTTTTTTTATAGGTTGAACTGTTTAATCTCCTCATTGATCTTGAGTAGCATTATGTGATTGTATAATGAAATAGCTTAGATCAGAAGCTCCCATACGTGACCGATTATTATAATCATCTAGGGAGTTAAAAAAAAATTAAGATTCTGGGACTCACTGAATCAGAATATCGTAGAGAAAATCTTTCCGGTTTTGAGTCTCTTATGTTCAGAAGGTAAAAATCATGTTTCTTCTGAGAAATTAAAGCATTCATGGAAAACCATGTTGAAGAACAGTGAAATATTTTATAATATTACTTCCACTTTGATCCTGTTTCCTTTTTATTATTATTCTTACTATTTGTTAAAACATTTTTAAACTCTTTTAATTTCTTGTTCTTTGACTAATGTCTGTGCACGTAATACATTTCTACCTAATAAGTATTTCATTTAATTTTAATATGATTAGTTTTATACTTTGAGGAAACTCTTAGAACAAAATACACTATTTTACAAATAAAAGGGGCAGTTGATATTTTGCATCCCTTTTATTCTTATATAAATTAAAAATTTTTACAGAAGGTCCTTCTGATTCCCCTATAACTAGTCCCTGGACACTGGAGAAGGTAAACGCTAGACTAAGGCTAATTTCTGGGCAAGTCCAATATGTTAACTGCAAATATAAAACCCAACTCTCAGCTGTAAAGATAGGTTATAAACACGTATATATTTATACTCAGAAAAGGGATTAATACAGGGGTTTCCAGGCTCTTTCACTAAACTATTAAAATTAGTTTAAAACCAATATGAAGGAAAGAAATATAAGTAAAATATATTTAGTGAATATTAGAGAGATTAAAATTCTAAGTTTTTTTTGTACTTACAAAGAGTGTTGGTTTGGGTATAAATATATTGTCTTCATGTTCTCTAGGCACATTCAAAGTTTTTGAATTCTGATTTTCTGTTACATTTTTGGGTTCCGTTTTAGAAAGAAGTAACCTGTCCTTAGGATGCTTATCGTGCATATTAGTGACAATCTGTTTCATTGCTGCCAATTCCTGTTGATGTATGAAAAGAAAAGAAAACGGTAGGTATGATTTTAGCAAGTAGATTAATAATGACTGATGGTAAAACATTTATTTTTATTCTTGAAGTAGGAGAAACATTTGAAGTAATTATACTATATGAATGAGAAAAGTGAAAATAACATTAATGAACAATGACATATGACTCTCATTATCATTAATAGTTTTATTATGATAAATAATACATATATCAATCCATAGTCTAATGGTTCCCAAATTTTTCTGCACATTGGGATCACTTGTAGAGCTTCAAAAACTACTGATGCCTGTGTCCACTCCCCCCCCCCCCCCCC